GTTTAGGGTTTAGGGTTCAGGGTTTAGGGTTTAGGGTTCAGGGTTTAGGGTTTAGGGTTCAGGGTTTAGGGTTTAGCGAGAACTGCCCCTCTTCAATTGCTACAGTCCTTGCAAGCGTTTGCACTTCCGCCGCTATTGTCTCGATGACCAAGGCTTTTTTGGGGGGCTGTAGAGGTTAAGCCCCGCAGGACTTCTCCTGCTTTGAAGTAATTCGTGCCCAGTGGGTTGGGTGACGGCGGCTCACTCCATAGTGGCGCCCATACATGTTACATGCTCCCTCCGGCCTGCGCCTGCGGCACGACGAACGAGGCCCGGGCTTGGGGGACCGTAACAAAGGAGCCTGAACAACGGATCCATGGGCGAGAGGGCTGGAGGAAGACCGTCTAGCAGAGTCTCGGGGAAGTCGCGCAACTTTGAGGGCCCTGGACATGTTCTGAGGATTGTAGTTTGAAGGCTTGGGTTCTGAACCTCTGCTGTTTCACGATCATGAGCGGTGAACAAGTCTCGGATTCCGCCCTAGATGCGTGACATTCAAGCGCTCCACTTTGTTGGCTCTGAAATGCTCCGCTCTGAGTAAAGAGCGGGCCTTGCGTAGATCTTCCATGCCAAGGCGACTTCGGGGCTCATTGCCGGGCACCGAAACACTCCGAATCAGGAAATCCCAGACTTGGCTCGCGATTGAATTTGGGCGTTTCCGAAAATTAGGGGTACTTATTTTGGGGTCCTTATAATGAGGATCCTACTATTTAGGGTACTATATTAGGGTCCCCTATTTTCGGAAACTCCCATTTTGGCCTTGTCTCGGATCCACTACCCGCTGTGTGGCCGGAGCCTGATGCATCGGCGGGAGGGGTTGGGTCCTGGGTTCTCATAGTAACGTGCCAGAAAACGGGCGAATGCGTTTGGCAGTACAGTAACGTACATGTATGCGTATAATAGAAATATAGATAGATAGATAGATGGATACATAGATAGACAGATAGATGGATAGAGGTGCGGATGCATGCGAAATTATGCGAAAGAAGACTGCAAGGGCATCGAAACCGCCTCAAGGCAGATTTTCCGCTGGCGGTCGCAGGGCGAAGCGACGGCAACACACCCGAAGATTGATGAATGGATATGTCGAAACTCCTCTGCTCAAATGGGCATTCGGACATGTTTGAGTACAGCAGTAGCGGTAGCGGTCTTTGCAGTGAGAGTAGCAGTGGTAGTTGTAGCGGAAGTGGTAGTGGCAGTGCTCGTGGTGGTGGATGCTTTGGTGTTAGTAATTGCGGTAGTGTCAATAACAGTAGTAGCAGTAGTAGTAGCAGTAGTAGTAGTAGCAGTAGTAGTAGCAGTAGCAGTAGCAGTAGCAGTAGCAGTAGCAGTAGCAGTAGTAGTAGCAGCAGTAGCAGTAGAAGTAGTAGTAGTAGTAGTAGCAGTAGTAGTAGTAGTAGTAGCAGTAGTAGTAGTAGTAGTAGCAGTAGCAGTAGTAGTAGTAGCAGTAGTAGTAGTAGTAGCAGCAGCAGTAATAATAGAAATTGTTGTTGTGGTGGTGGTAGTAAAATAGTACCAGCAGTATTAGTGGGAGCAGCAGCAGCAGCAATAGGTGGGTCGCTTCATTTTGTATCCCACTTCATTGCAGTGCTCTGCTCTTTATATACTGCTCTAGACTTTGTGACAGTTGTCGCCCATGTCACGAGCTCAGGGCCGGGCAGAGACGACATGACCTGCACCTCAGAGTGCTGGGATCCGACAGCCGTCTTGGAGGATTTGGCTTTTGGGACTTGGCTTTTCGGGGATTTTTGAAAAGTTCAGGCCCATGACATTACGAGAGTTGCCCGGTGGCTCGGGTTTCTGGTAGGGGTTTCGGGCTCGGGGATCATGGAGCTTCGGGGATTACACTGCAGTGAGCCGAGGTTCAGGTCAACGACGACTCCTGCTGCGGTCGTGTCTGTCTGTCTGCATTTTCCGGCGGTGGGCGAAAGATCTTCAAATGGACGCCTGCCGTAGAGAGAATCGCACCTGTCCTCTTACAAGCGCAGCCCATCAGCTTCAGGTCCGAGGCACACAACTGCCACTCCAAACCCCCAGCCCCGAAAGGTAAACAGCATGCGAGAACTCCCCGACAAGAAGGCCTGGGCTAGGCCGACCAAACATCTACGTCGAAAGCTTCATTCAGAGATCATCCTAAACCGTATCATATGTCATGGTACACTGGTGGAAAAGCGGTACGCTTCGTCCTACGAATACCATAGTTGACTGGAGCCCCTGCAATGGATGATGTCGTGGGTTGGCACCCTTTGCCTCCAACCCCGAAACAGAACAAAACTCGAAAACGGTGAGCTGCAACGCATGAGCTGCAGCTAAGCCCTGTAACCCGTTATGCACACCTCCTGTAGGCCTGCTGCTCCCGAAGCCAGAGCCCCATTGACAGGATGCAAGCTGAGAATGTCACTAACAGCGGTCTGTCCCTGAGAAGCGCAGGGGGCAGGGCTTTGCGGCAGAGCAGGATCTACCGTGTGGGGTTGAAGACGCTGTCTCTCGCACTCTCGAGCAAATGTCTAACCATAAACCCTCAACCCACAACAACGACAAATCCAAACGTAATAGCACATGAAGAGCAGACAGCTCACTGGCCGCTTGCATGGGTCTCAAGATAGCACTTTAGATGGTTGATTGCAGGGATTGTTGGTCGTTTTATGAAGTTCTCCTGGCATCCATAGGGTGTTGTAGAGGAGCCTGAGTCATAGAACTCTGCTTGGTAATTCGGCTCTGCGAATCCTGCTCTCGTCGTGGTGACTTGTAGTGTTGCCGAAGTCGGAGAAGATCTTGCGAAAACCAGACGCACTTGAAGTGGGGCGTACGTACTGAAAGAAAAGAGGGAACAGAATGCAAAGCAACAAGCACACTGATAGACACACCACCAAAACTTCGGCCCTGCGGCGTTCAAAAATGGAATCAGGAGACACCCAACCTTCGACCCTGAACACCCAACTCAGCCCCAACTGCATCCAAGCCCTATCGCCCACAACCTCTACACCGGGCCTCGGCCCTCGCAGGTGCAGTCATACCCGACACCGTGCGGGCCACGGGTACCTCTGTGCACAGATTGTCTTGGCTCAAGGTCTCTAGTGAGCAGGATTGCCAGTCCATGTGGTGTCGTGCGCGCCGAAAACCGTGACCGGGAACAGCGCAGTGATCACGAAGCTGTCGCTCAGTCCCGTCACGACAACCCTAAAGCATCATGAACAGCCATCATGCACTTCTTCGGGAGACCTCTCCTGATCAATGAACCAACCCGAAGCCCTGTGGGTCCGGAACCCGAAGCCCGATCAACCCCAAACCCTACAATCCTACTCTCAGCCCTATAACCCTTTAAACCCTACAATCCTATAAACCCTATGACCCCATAACCCTACAACAATGTAACCCTATAACCCTACAACCCTATAACCCTATAATCCTATAAACCCCGGACCTCAAGAGCCCCAACCCATCAGCCCTTCCCCGAGCCTGCGCCTGTGCTGGCGTCACGACGAAGGATGCCCGCGCCTTGGGCATCGGCACAACGTTCCCTCGGCCGACGCAGAGGTTCAGGGGGGTCTTGGGGGCATCTTCGGGAACATGATCCTTTGAGTTTCGGGCTTGCGAGCTCCAAGGCTTCGGGACCTGGGGGCCCGGGGGATAAGTTCTGCTCCCTGGATGCGCATTTCCGGAAAGCCATCGGGCTGGGCCTTCGCGGAGCACTCTGACGTGGAAGCCCAAGCCCCAGGACCCTGAGCTAGCAGTGTCGCAACAACCAGCCGCACAGTCCTACGTGGACCTGAGACCCAAAAATTTAAACACCCCAGAACCCCAACCCACAGGAGCTGAACCTGGCAACGGTTGACTAAATACCGCCCAAGCCCCGGCCCCCTCAAGGCGCAGGAATCGCGACAAGTCCCTGAGTCGTGCGCTCTGCGGACATATGAAGGTCTAGAGACGACTGGACATGTATGCTTGGATCTGCAAGGTATAGGCCTAGTTGTGGGCTACATGTCTTATGTGCTGAAACCTTTTTGCCATGACGCCAACCAGCCAAAACCAAACCTTTGCAGTGTCAGCATGGAGTATGGAATTGAAACACCGGAAACATCTTCCATTGCATATCGGTACACACCAGAGAAGCGATTCTTCCAGGCAGCCGCGCCCGTTCTGGCGTCGGGCGCACGCTGCACTGCCGGGGCCTCTTGGGTACTTACACGGCGTCGGAGATGCAGGACGTTTTAGGACGAGGCTGGGTCAATTTAAACGTAGCAGTAATGGCTTATCTCGAAAGCCGTCGTTCTACAACCCCAAGGCAACAGCAAACCAAGAAAGAAGCCGTGGCCTCAAACTCGCTGCTTAACGGCACAGCCAGGCCCCGACCACCCGAAACCTTGAAGCCCTTCAATCCATCACCCGATCTGACGGTCCCGGCCATCACGACCTGACCACCGCCTGAGAAGTCGCAACAGCTTTCACACCCTAGAGTTCGACACACTGTGCAGATTTTCATAGTACGAACAAGTCCCCTCATGCAGAAGCCCGATACAGGGGCATGGGAGTTGGGGGCTTCGGGCTTAAGGTGCATAATCTCGCTGGGCTGATGATGGTCATGGTGATGATGATGATTATGATGGTTGGCGTCGTGATGGTGAGCAGGCGGAGGAGGAGAAGGAAGGATGATGATGATGATGATGACGATGATGACGATGACGAAGATGGGGATGATGAGGATGATGGGGATGAGCACGATAATGAAGATGTTGAGGATGATGTGGACGATGATGCTAATGATGATGTGGTGAAGACGCGCCGTGGTCGGGAAGGTGCTAGCAGTTTGGCGCCTTGTGCCGACGATGGGGATGGTCTTCACAACATAAACAATATCCCATAACACCATATTGCAGATCCTAGCTATATCGCACAGGCTGCACGCAGCTCCTTGAAACATGGACCCTTTCTCAGCCGCACAAGGAGGAAGCTTGGCCTATGCATCACGCAGAGTGCAGTGCTCGGCACTCGATCTTCACACATGTTGCAAAATGCGTGTGTTGTAATTTCTCGTCGTAGGCGTGTCCAACGTCGTATTTTCCTGCCTGTGCATGCAGAATTCTGCAGGAAAGCTCGGATTGCCGAACAAAGTCTGAAAAGATTCGCTTCAGCGATTCCAGAATCTCGCCGATTTCGTCAACAGACAGGCGACAATCTCGTTCCACGTTTAATCCTTTCCTCACCACCTCCAATGCCTGTTTCAAGCTCGACTCCTCCACGTGACGGACTTCTTCACCTTCCACGGAACACAGTCCCGCCCCCGGGCCCCACCATAGGCCGGTTGGAGGGTTCTTTGAGTCAGAATCCTGCAACGGAGACAAGAGCCAGGAGCCAGTGTTCTCATTAGAGTTGATTCTCCAGCAACCATCACTGAAGAACATCAAGGGGCCCGCCTCGTTCTTGTAGAAAGGTCGCTCATTGAGTGACCCCCGTAAGAAATAGTCACCAGCGCAATTCGGCTCAAGTTCAGTCGATACCCCGAATGTAACTACACGCACGAACCGGTCCTTGCATTCTCGAGGCACGACAGCACAGAGGCAAACACGCTCAACTACAAACGGAGATTTGAACTCCGGTTTCTTTCTCTGCGTAGGGTGATCTAGATACTCATCCCTCTCCTCTTCCATTGCTTCCAACTCGTCATCGCTGAATGCGTCGGGATGCGCAAGTCTGTTGCATCCGCAACTACACTGTTCTGCGGTGCAACCGAAGGGCTCTGCAAAAAGCCTCACTTCCAGGTGCACCTCCGACATCTTCGAGCGAATCAGGTGCAGCATGCCCGGAAGCATGAAGAAGTTGGCTTCCCTTTCTAAGCGGCGCAGTTCCTGCAAGGAGCTAGGAAGTTCCACGGCTCCGTCTCGCAAGTAGGAGAGGACGAAGCGAAAGAGATCCCCATCACGGTCAATGAAATATGCACCATCGGTGGTGGCAGAAGGAATTTGGCTCTCAAACATCTTCGCCAGCATGCCGCAGTCTACTCTTCGAAGTGTGCTGAGAGATGTCACATATTCCATGCCACCGACATTTAAACGTACAACCGGGGGGGCCGGTCTTCATGGCAGCCTTCGTGGGAAGCTCCCCACGCGGCCTGCCTGGAGCATCCTCGGAGCTGGAGGGGCGTTTGCGTTTTCTGCACACCGCCAAGAGGCCCTCCATGGCAACCCCAACTCACGGCGAGAGGTGAAAGCTATCAGCCCTGGTCAGGCTAGAAGGGCGTCGCTCACACTTGAGGCACTGGACTAAGAATGGCCGAATGGCCACCACAGAATTGAAACAGCACTTACTTAGTCTTGAAGCCGGCATGTCGCTTCGCAGACTTCCACACGAATCATCCTGCAAAGATAGTATGCAGAAAGTTGAAAGACAGAGACTTAGTCTGAGTTTTCGGTGACAAAGTACATACTGCAGTTTTTTGGTTGGTGTGCAATGCAAAATATCTGCAGTAGCCAGAATTCCAGCCGGGTATGGCGCTCAGGGTCCAGGGAACCATGAACATCCAAACCGTGCAAATTCGGAAACAGTCATAGTCGACTGAATGGGTTTGTTCGTTCAGGACGTGTTAAGCTTAGAGGAGAGGTTCCCATAATCTATGAAGCCCCAGAGCTGTATTGACACTACTTGTAGCACGACCCTGCTAGTCCCGAACCGGGCGACACCACTGGCAAAACCTTGTGACAGGCTCATCTTCGAATGTGTACGTGTAAAGTGTGTTTGTGTACATGTGTACATACATACATACAGACAAACATACATACATACATACGTACATACATACATGTGCCGTTTGATCTGTGTTCCCATTTTTTGCTTTTTATACTGGTATCTCTACCTATCCATCTAACTGTCAAGCCATCTATGCTTTCGCACATTTGTATGTATATGCATACACACACATCTACATATACATATATACACATATGTACGCACACACGCATGCCATGTACATAATTAGTTCTGTAAAGCCGACCATAACACGGGTCAAGCATGATGTCCGTCTTTTGTACAGCATGTATATACATGTGCACACATGCATGCACGATATCACTTTCAATGATTGGTATTTAAACATACAGAGACAGAAAGAGATAGTGACTGGCTGACTGACAGACTGACAGACAGCTAGACGGACTGAATGAATGACTGAATGTGTGAACGAATGAATGAATGAATGGATGAATGAACCTTGTGCCCATGCATGCCGAGACCGTCACTTGCAGCAGTCGCAGCCTCACGAATACGATTTATGTTTGGAATTCTGCCGCATGGTTTTGGGGTTTAGGTGCTCCTTTCTGGATTGACATTGGGGTACGCAGCTTGCGGAATGGAAACAGGGAGCTTAATCAGAACAGATTAGGGCTTATTCGATGTTCCAGATCATTCCGAGGGCAACAAGGAGGAAAACTAGTAACTAGACAGAAGACAGAAGGACGCAAATTCTGGCGCACTCCTGCATGGTACTCTCTTTCGCAAAAAAAACAAGAACTTGGGTGCTGAATCAGTATGGTATATGGGCAAGTAACGTCTTGTCCTGTTGCTAGCTGGAAGCATTGCTGGCCTCAGCTTTGGCATGTTCTTTCGTGGCATGTTGTCATACATGTGTCGTAGCAGTTGTGCTGGGTTGATCCCAGTACTGCATGCATGAAAGGATTCATGACAGTGCTACAGAACCTCCAAGGAAGAGAGAGAAAGCGAACGCGAACCATTACTGGGCCTCAACAGGCTTGCTAAGCTGCGAACAGGAATCCGCGAGCAAGACCCCGCATGATCAGGTGTGGAGATAAGGCATCCACACATAACTCCTCGACTCAAGAACCTACATGGAAGCAGTACAGGCGGCTCCCAAACCACACTCGACACCTTGACCCAGCACTCCGAATCCTCTGAAAAGAAACGCCCAAAAGAGCCATCCTCAAGCATGAAGCCCAAGTCCAAAAGTCATCAAGACCTCCTGAACCTCCCGAGCCCTTCGAACCTGAAATCACCCATTCACCCGAGGCATCCTCGCTCGCCACCGGTCGCGCAAGCCCCTGGGAAAGGCCGATGCTTCCAGTGGTCGCCTCCCAGCTTAAGACTTCATGTTCACGGCCTCTTGGGCTTTAGGGTTTAGGAGGGATTTAGGGCTTTAGGGTTTTAGGCCTTTTTGGGTATGAGGATTCGGGCCTTGGGCTTTAGGGTTTGGGGGTTTAGGGCGGTTTATATGGGCTTCGGGGTTTGGGGATGGAGAATTGCGGTTCCCTGGCTTAGGGTGAGCGTTTCAGGTTTACGGCGAAGCTTGTCGTCTTTTGGCCTTGGCTTAATGGAGCTGGGAACATCAAACGTTCAAACTGCTTGGCATACGTGCGTAAACCTCGACACTAAAATCTAAACCCCACAAACAGAGCGTGAATTTCCGTCAGCGTTTCTGATTGCATCAACCACCCATGACCCTGAACCCCTATCAAAAACTTGTCGCCAATTTAATCTCAGCGTGAATCCCTGAACCTTCTGAGACACCCGACACTCTCAACCCCAAACCCTGAACTTCTAAACCCCTGAACCCTTAAACCCAAACCCTAAGCCCCCTGGAATAGAAAGGACGCTAGCAGCCGACCTCCAGGCGGCTGCCGGCTCGCATGACCCGGGGTTGACTGCCAGGCGTCGGTGGTGGCACCTGCTGTTCGGGGTTGGGGTTTAGGTTTTTTTTTGGGGGGGTTTAGGGTTTTTTTTTTTAGGGTTTAGGGTTTAGGGTTTAGGGTTTAGGGTTTAGGTTTAGGGTTTAGGGTTTATGGTTTAGGATTTAGGGTTTGCGGTTTGGGGTTCAGGGTTCGGGGTTGGGGTTTGGGGCACAACTCTTGGGCATGTGCAGTGTTGAAGCTTATAGGGTGTTGCATCTCCTAAATTGCACAGGCATTGGTGGATCATCAGGCCTTGGCAGGATGCACCCTGCGACGCACGGCGTCAATGGACCGTCTGCACTTCAACACTGACGCCCTTTTCGCGGAGCCGAGCCTACAAACTAATGAGCAGAAGACGAAATCCTTGAGCTCCAAGCCCAATCCAACTTCCCAAGATGGAGGGAGCGGCATAACAGGGATGCGAGACAAATAAGATAAACCTGAGAGAGATGCGAGGGAGAATAATTGACACTGACATCTTGACAATCGTCACCCTCATCATCGTCGTCCTAGTCCATCCACGTAGTCGTCGTCACCGCCGTTGCCGCCAGCCGCAGCAGCAGCAGCTAGTGACAGCGAGAGGAGGACGAATGTCGGTGGTGAAACCATAACACCATAGAGAATATATATATATATATAGATATAGATATATATATATATATATATATATATATATTTACATGAATAGCGTATATTGTTGAATATTCCATAAATGGTATGTACTATATACTATCTAAATTATGCAATATCTAAAACCTCTGATACAATATAGATACATAGACATATATCCGTATAGAATCCTGGTTCGAGCCTCTTGGGCACTTGGCGGGCCGTGCGAGGAAACGACCCGAGAGGGAGCCGCCTGCCAGGCTTTGGAAGGTCTCGTGTGGAAGGGCGTCGGGATCAGAGCACGCTAAACCCGTTTCCGAAAATTAGGTACCGTATTTGGGGTCCTTATAATAAGGATCCTACTATTTAGGGTATAGTATTAGGGTCCCATATTTTCAATAAGGATCCTACTATTAAACCCCAAACCGAAAACCTCAAACTCCTAAAACCCTAAACCCCAAATCCCTAAAAACCTAAAACCTAAACCCTAAAAACCATCAAAACTAAACCCGGGTAGAGCCAAGCATCTTGAGCCTTCTAGGGCGTTGAGGCAAGTCTGGACTTCGTGGTTTTCGGGCTTCTGGCAAGTTTAAAACCAGGGTTGCGCTGGTAATCGCTGCACAACATCTCCGACAACCTGTCAGCCCTAAGTCCTTGGCCCGCTTTGCCTCCGGCAGGCCATGGGAGGATGTGGCACGAATTGCCACGACCCTTTGAGGGACCTGCTTGGGAACTTTTTGAGTGAGGGACTGTCGGGCTAAGGGGGAGGAGGACTCTGACTTTGGGTGCAGTACTCTAACCCAACAGCCCAACAACCGGGATACTACAAGGGTTTGCAATAACAGGCGACAAGAAAAGAAGATCCCGAGCTACGGAGTGCTTCCCCGATTTGGGGGTCTCGAGTACCGGGTTCGGGCCCAGGCCAGGAAGTGTCCAAAGAGGCTACACTGAAGGGATTTTGGGGCTCCCTGTAAGGAAGCGAGTGAGGGAGAGGAACAAGAGAGCGAGAGAGAGACAGAGAGAAAGAGAGAGAGAGAGAGATTTAAAAAATAGAATAACAAGTCTGCACTCCATGGTTTGGAGTCTTTAGGCCGACGGCTTGGAGTTGAAGCGTGAATGAGAGTTCAACATCCGTGAAGCTCCAGCTCCGTCACTCTGCAGCGCACGAGCGCGTCTGCTTCAAGAAGGTTTCAACAATTGCCGAAATAGCGACAGCACACAATCCAGGCCTAAGCTGAGCAAGACAGCTTGCGATGCAGACCAAACTCGCACATCCTGACCAAGCCCTAAAGCCCTTAAACCCTATACCTGCATGTTCCCTCGCAAGCCTCCTGAACGCCGGGCAGACCCTGCGAAGTCACGACACGTCCAGCCGCCACCTCTCAAAGTGAAGGTCTCTGAGAAACAGCCACAGGTGGCTTCGTGAACTTAAGAGTTCCCTACCACAAGAAGGGTGGAGGCATTGATATCACATCCATAAGAACTCTAATAGTGGTTGCAACTTCAGCACTTACAATGGCATATTTAACTGTCGCAAAGAAGCTTTGCAGCCCAGCCCGAACTCAACCTTAAACCCTGAACCAATCCCCCCCGAATCCCTCCCAACAACAACCCACAACATCTCAACTCTCACATTCTGAACCCCGACCCGAAGAAACCTACAAGCCCTAAAACCCCAAAAACTGAAAGCTCAAGAACCCATAACATCTCAACTCCCACAATTTGGGAGTTTCCGAAAATAGGGGCCCCTA